GTGGTGGTGAATGTAGCCTCCCTGCCTGTGGACGCTCGCTCGCCCGGTGCTGAGCTGGCCTGGGGCGTGTCCAGGTCCCGTTAGCAACACTAAATGGGTGCTGTGCTGCTGGGGCCCAGGTCTCTGTGGTGCGAGCTTCCTCAGACTCGGTCCCTGCGAGGAGGTGTGGCTGCTCCCTGGGGGCCTGCAAGCCGGGGCTGGGGGTGGGGTGGGGGTGGGGCCCAGGTCTGGGTGATCAGCCGGGGTGCCCTGGCTGCCCTGTGGACCCTTGTCCTGGCTGGGTATTCCTAGCACCTGGTCCATAGCTAGAGGATGGTCTGTGACCTCAGGGGGCTGAGAGGCTGCCCAGCCCTGATTCTGCTGGAGTTGATGCCCCATGTTCTCCAGGGTCAAGCCAGTCTCTTATGGCTGGGGTCACAGAGCCTTCCTGAGGGCTATGGGTCACTCCTCTGGCCAGGGAGGAAGCAGGGGCTGGGCATGGGGCCAGCCGGCAGGAAACACAGCAACCCGCAGGGGCAAGGCTTGGCCCACCATGACCCGCGCTCCATGCCCTGCGGCCCCATGGGGTGTGGCCTTCCAGCCTTGTGGCCACGACCACTTGGGCAGGCGGGCAAGGGGCCTCTGGGAAAGCAAGGTACCCGGCTGCCCAGATTCTGTGCCCTGGGGTCCCCGCAGGTCCAGGTGAAGGCAGGGATGGTGGGCCAGGTGTCACCTGCAGGTGCCGGGCAGCCCACCTCTCCCCTTTCTACCTGTGTCAGGAAGGGCATATAGACCGCCAAGACAGTGTCCTCGGCCTGCCCACCGTGGGGTCAGTGCTGCCGGCCCAACCTCACCGTCGTCTTGTCTCTCCTCTCCCAGCAGGTACCCCCCGGGTGTGGTGGGCGTGGCCCCCACTGGCATCCCGGCTGCTGTAGAAGGCATCGTCCCCAGCGCCATGTCCTTGTCCCACGGCCTGCCCCCCGTGGCCCACCCACCCCACGCCCCTTCTCCCGGCCAAACCGTCAAGCCCGAGGCGGATAGAGAGCACACTAGTGACCAGTTGTAGCCCGGGCAGAGCTGTCTACCTGCGCCCGGCGCAGGGGCCATGCGGCCCTCGGACCGGCGTGCACAGAGGCCCTGGCGCCCAGAGACTGGCCCGGCACGCGGGCAGGAGCAGCGGCGAGCGGTGGCACTGGGGCTTCCTCCTCGTCCCCATTTAGTCGTCCCGTCCCCGGACTGGCTCGCTGTCCTGTGTCCGTGTGTCCTTCGTTAAGCAAGAGAAGTTAGTAGTTAATCGTATCATGAATGTACTTGTCTGTGTACAGTTTCTAGAACATTAAAGGATTTGTTTGCTTAGCTGTCAACAAACGAAACC